ATCTTCAGTAGTTATTAAAATATCGCAGTTTTCGTATTTCTGGAAATTACCGTTATATGGGAAGTGGGCGTGGTTACAGTCCGATTTCGCCCATTTTCAATACCAACCTACCTTGGATTACTGGAAACCTACATACCAAATTTCGTTCAGATATCTCAATTTTTGCTCGAGTTATCGTGTACACGGACGGACGGACAGGCGGACGGACATACAAACATGGCTTAATCGATTCCTCTATTCATTCTGAGCATTTATGTATACATTTTNGAGAAGACAAGCTTTAGACTTGTTATGGACGTCGTACCGGCTTGCAACAAAAAACGCTTATTTATTTTTGATTTAAAGTATAATTAAGCAATACAACAATGAACTGGTTACATTTGAAGACGAAGTAAAATACACGATAACTAGACTAAAATGGCTAGACTAAAGAGGCTAGGCTAAAATGCTAAAGCTTGTGTCTTCTCTCGGTTTGGTGGGCGAATGAATGTGTAAAAAACTGAATACGGCAGTTGATGTTGGCTGTGGTTGCTGCGAGCTGACAGCTCAATGTGGTGTTGCCACATAGTGAGGGTTTTGTAGTTGACTACAATACCGTTGTGCACAAGTGCGCTCGGGTATAAAAAGCAAAAAAAAGTTCCATTTGTGCCCTCTACGCGTTTCGGCGTTATTTTTCGCCCACTTCAGGGAAGTCTGTTGTTATAAGTTTGGAATAAAACATAAAAAACACAACCCATTAGATACAATTAGGGGATTCACAAGACGTGTTAACCGTCGTAAAATCTTAAGGTTAACATCTTTTTTAATTAAAATGGTTTTAGGGGATTTCTAACTAAACCGAAATTCTTTTAAACTGATAAAGAATATATAATTAGCTAACCCCCCAACCATTTTAACCGCTATTTTACATAAACAAGTGTTAAGCTTAAGATTTTACGACGGTTAACACGTCTTGTGAATCCCCTAAATATAACATATTGCAATATGAAAACAATTAGTTAACATATGGGCGGGTGGGAGGAGGGGATGGGCGGCTAAGCAAAATATACTGTATATACATATACACCTGTATGTATGTAGCTCGGCTCTTACTCTAAACAAAAACAATCCGCCAAACAATGTTCAAATTCATAAACGCATTTTTTGTGAGCGAGTGAGTAAGACCGAAATCCTAGTTACCCTTACTCTACATACATAGGTCTACGCAGTTTTTCCATATCAAAATTTTTCAGAATTTTTTTTTCTATGAAAAAAAAACTTCGAGGGACAGTCAGAAAAAAAAATTCTCAAAAATCAACGCGAATTTTTAAACATTTGAAATTCGCACGTTATTATATTAATTTAATGGGCTATAAAACTGCATACCTGAATTCTATTTGGAAATTCGTATTAAAAAGTGCGCGACACTGTTTCATTCTTGGATTTAAATGGGGTTTGCTAAAATATAAGCCATATTTCAATACAAAATTAACAAAAAGGTCTTAGCATGTAAAACATTGCGAATATTAACAAAAACGAGTCGTACGCTCAATTTTGGGAGTAACAGTATGTAATACTTTTTTATTGGCAGTACGTTGAAAGTACATCCGCCAACATTAGACTGCAGATATATAATGTTAGAACGAGAAAACCAACCAGCCAATGTACCTAGAATGACGTTTGAAAACAAACAAAAGAATCAGGAGCGGTGCAGTAACCGTCAATATTTTAGAAAATCAAATTTAAATTTTAAAAGCAAAAATTAATTATGCTGAACTGTTTGTAGAAGCAAAAAAAGGAAGGAAAATGAAATTTTATTGCATGCGTATGTTGTACTACTTAAAAATGAACATTATCAGGGAAAGCGGGCAGACGCTACATGTTGGCTAAGGCGCTAGAAAGGAAGGCACGCATCCTCACAGTATATACTATTTTAAGAGTGGTTACGGTGATCGCTTCAAGTGTAACTTTTATATCTCTTGCTCCTTATTCAAATCCGCTGGCTACCACAAAGCGTGCACCAATCACTTTCAAGGAAACATTTTTGGTTGTTTATTTATTTTTATTTATTTACTATATTTTTATTTAAACCGCGCCTGGAGTGACTTATACATTTATACTAACACAAGCAAAAATTTATTTGATAGGCTGTCTCCTTTTGATTGCGGAATAAAAACAGATTGTGAAGAGACGTTACTATCAATATAGAAGTACTAGCTTTTATCCGCGGGTTTCACCTTACGTCTTTAAATAAACTTATTTATATAAACCTTAACTTAAGCATCTACCATAGATATGACTTCATATAAAATTTCAAATTCATGCGATGTATGTTTCCGAAGTTATAGCTGAAACATAAGTCCGCGCCTATGGGAGGTGCTAGGCCCCCTTTTACAAACTCATTAATATAAACCTTACCATAAGCACCTATCATAGATATGTTTGCATACCAAATTTCAAGTTCATGTGACTTATGGTTCCGAAGTTATGGCTGATTAAAAATTCCACGCCTATCGGATGTGCCCCCGCTCCCCTTTACAAACTCATTTATACATATAAACCTTAACATAAGCAACTACTATAGATATGACTTCATATCAAATTTCAAATTCATGTGACTTATGTTTTCGAAGTTATAGCTCAAACAAAATTCCACGAATATGTGTCACGCTCCTTTTTACATAGATATGGCTTCATATCAAAGTTCAAATTCTTTTGACTTATGGTTTCGAAGTTATAGCTGATTTAACATTTGCAGGCCTAAGGAGGTGCCACGCCCCTTTGCAAAATTGGCGACACATTTGCAAATAAAACCATACCTATAACCTTCCCGGGGTAAAAATAAATAAGTGTGCTAAAGGTGGGTTATGCAAGACTTAAAGCTCAGTTATGCAAGACTTAGACTTGACTTGACTTGTAATTAGGTTTGTATAGTAACCAATAGTCAGTACTAGTTTGTACTGGAACCTGCAAATTTTTACTGGAAAAGTGTATGATAACCGAAAAAATTTGCAAGAGAGCACTGAATCGAGAGCGTAACAACACGGGAGAGCTGCAAATTCTTGCTAGTGAAATTTTTACTAGCAGAAATTAGCTAGTGGAAGAAGAAGAAGAATAAATGTCAAAAGCCGCCATTTGTTGAATTGGTTTAGCACAAACAAAAGTAAAAGGAGTTTAAATAAAAATATCGTGACAGTGTAAGTGCTTGTGTGTAAAACAAAGAGTTTAAGACTGATTTATAAATAGTAAAATGTTTACAGCAGAAAGTCAAAACCGTGCAACGACTGTTCACTTGCAAGTTTTTGCTAGTTTTGTGTTCATTAACTTTTTCTGCTAGTTTTCTCTTCTTCTCAATTTTACGCTCTATTTTGCTTTTACGCTCTCGCTGCAATGTTTTACTGGAGAAGTTACTATACAAACCTATTGTATATCTAGCAAATGAGCAGCGCGTGTATGTCGTTACCCAAAAACCATGGTACAATAATTACAGGTATGTCTTCCCAGAGAGCGCATATTCCGATCTGCCTTATTTGAAAAACATCATTGTTGCCCACACTAAAAGGTTTACTGCTAGGGAAAAGGGATATTTCCATACCCTATATACCATGTATGTACGCGTATTTTTTTCAACAAACCTTTTTGCAGGGGACTTATTTAATTTGCAAAAGCCAAAAAAAAACCCCAGCAATGTGCTCAGAATGAATAGAGAAGTCGATTA